TTGATAAATTTGAAAATAACAGTCTAATTTAGTGTCAAATTTGTAAATAATTATGTCTAATCATGGTAAGCCAGATAAGACTCCTATACGGGTAAGAGAACATATACAACACCTTACTTTCCTGTACTTCGCTTACACATTATTAAGGTATATATGTAATGTCATACATACATCAAATAACATATATGATAACAAGACAAACACAGTTTTACTTTCTGTCCGGTGTGTCTGGATAGTTGTAGTCTCGGCACACGTAGTTCGACAAAATCACGTCAAGAGGTCAACTTCCCCCCCTCACAAGGGAGCGTCGGTGCCAACCGGTAATTCAAAAACCGTGTTAAGGCAACATGTCTGGCTGCAATTGTCGTCCGGACGACACGTGTGCCTCCTGGCTGAGACGAGCAGGCCTGGCCACTAGAATTAGCGGATAGACCTTTTCGAAGTTGTTCATGCAGCGCATGCGTTTACGGCGAAAATCAACTGTGTTCACTGCCCATTCATGGCAGTGTCTGTGTAGGTCGGTCACCGCGACTTTCCCGCGGGAAAAAAAAAACTTTTTTTCGTAAGTCTCAGACTGCTGCGAACTCGCGATTTTAATACAAAAGCCGCCCCGTTCAAATGTGCTATCGGTTGTCAGTCGAACAACCGACGGTCCGACGAGACCCGACTCCCGAGGAAAAGATGGCATGTTTTGATATTATTGTTTTTTATTAACTACTAGACCGCTGGTCATCTTAAGACCATCTTTTCTGTGTTGCTGTGGGTTTTTTCCATCGCTTTTGTGTTACAAATATCAGAACAATAACAGAATATATCCGTCGTAAACTAAACCAGAAACAGCAGTATATTTTATTGTGTTAACACTGTAAACTTTACAGCTTTTTAACCCGCACCTCCTACTGGTTAAAGCACGTTAGTACACGTTTAGAGTAATTGCAATGCAGGGAGATTGTGTTGCTTTTTAAATGACTGTTATAAAATGCCTTTTTCTTAATGTCTTTCATTTTTGTAAAGCACTTTTGAATGTGTTATATTTGATGAAGACATTTAAATATTAAGAGTACATACAAAATAGTGGGAAAGTAGAAGGTCAATGATATAAATATAGAATAGAAAATATCAAGAAGATACTGTAAGTGATCTCTACAATAAAACAGTTTAGTGCCTGATAGGAGGATGTGCAAAACAGACAAACTAATAAGGCTTTATTTAAACATTAAAGAATACTTTAGGTTAAGGTCTTCTTTTAAATAGGAAAAAAGCTTGACATAATAGAATATTAAGCCTGACAAAGTACTTAACGTCTAATATATTGCATGGTTTGTTTTGGAACTTGACAATCAACTTTCCTGCAATGTTAACTATGTTGAAGCACTTATTTTAACTGATATTATACATATTAATTATACTCTTATAAGATGTATGTAGATAGAGAAGAAATGTGCAGAATATGTTTAATGCTGGTATACACACATATCGATAGGTGTCTTGTAATGCACTGTTGAGGAACCTGTGACCCAAGTGTTTCATTCATTGCATAACTACATCATAGTTGTGTATATGATATGTCAATAAACCTTAGGAAATATTGAAATCTTGAAAGGGATGTGCAAAATAGCAATTATATACAGTTTTTAATTAACTACCGTATTAGTAGAGAATAACGAGTAATGAATATACTTTATAGAGATCTGCAGATAAATGTTTAGTCTTCTCAAGCACCAACAATCCAATATCTCTCCTGATTGTTGGCACTTGACAATCACCTTCCCTGAATTTTACTCAGGTGTAACTAAAGTCTGCTTTAAGGGTTGTTTATATTTCACATCATTAATCAGAATCTGTAAAGTAACTAAAATAAATGTAGTGGAGTAAAAATACCAGGTTAACCTTAAAGAAAGCCCTCAGGATTATAAAAGACCCCCTTCACCCCAGCCACAAACTGTTCTGTCTGCTGCCCTCTGGCACAACAGCTGCATTCTAGGAGAGGATGTGGCTGTTGTGGAGGACTACAAGTACCTGGGAGTGCACTTAGACAATGGGCTGAACTGGAGGATCAACACTGACGCTGTGTACAAGAAGGGGATGAACGGACTCTATTTTCTGAGGAAGCTGAGATCCTTCCACGTGTGCAGCAAGATGCTGGAGATCTTCTACCGGTCTGTTGTAGCCACTGGACTCTTCTTTGCTGCGGTCTGCATGGGGGGCAGCATAAGAGCCGGTGACACCAGCAGGATCAATAAACTGATCAGGAAAGCTGGGTCTGTCATCGGCATCAAGCTGGACCCCTTTGAAGCTGTGGTGGAGAGGAGGACACTGAACAGGCTGTTGTCCATCATGGATAACCCCACCCATTCTCTCCACCTGCAGCTGGACAGTCAACGGAGCTCCTTCTCCAACAGACTGCTGACAAGGACCGATACAGGAAAACATTCCTGCCCACTGCAATAACTCTGTACAATAAATCACCTCTGGCTGGAAGAGAACTCTCTGCTCCATAGTTTCTCTTGGAATAAAACCTCGCTGTACATTTTACACATATATAAGCTGTTCAATATTTAATATTCCATATGTCATATTTTTGAATATATATATATTTGCATATATAATATCTACATGTATATGTTATATTTCAACACGTATATTTTCTATTTTTTTTCTTTTCTTTCTATTCTTGTTTATTTGTAGTTTTGTTTTATTGTAAAATGCCTTGTCTTTTATGCTGCTGCTAACAAAAACAATTTACCCAAATTCTGAGACTGCCAAGGCACACAGGGATAGGGGACTGCCAATGCACACAGATAGGTACCATCTATCTTATCTTATCTTACCCGCAGCATCCAGACTAAACCACCAGACTCAAGGCACAGCTTTTCATCCACCAGGCATAAGCTATTAAACAACCTGAACTTGAAACAACTCCTAACATTCATCCTGGCTGCTACTCTAGAAATTATAGGAGACGTTCGCTTCTGTTTGAATAGTGTGCCCATCGATGGGTTTCATTCCATTTCAAAATGCCGTTTTGACGCTCGGCGTAAACTTTGCGCCTAACCACTCAACACCAATCACAGAGCTGTGAGGACAATCACAGGGTTCTGTCAACAGCAAGCAAATTGGCTTGTAGTCCCAAATGATACGTTTAGGAATTCTGGGTAGTCTAGTGTCTTCGGCCGTCCAAACTGAACAAATATTTGTTTCTCCGAATCGAAGGGGAAAATTACAAAAGCATTGTACACAATTTAAGACTAAATCACATGTTGTGTAATCAACAAGGATAATCTGGTGTTTTTGATTGATAGTAGGTGCAGAATATCACTGTTAAGATCAATCGACAGTCAAAGAAAATACTTACTTCCTGGGTGTAAAAATCCTGCGTATCCAATGGAAGTGGACGCTCACATTAGCCGGTCACACCGAAGTACTTTTCCCACTTTAGTTTCCGATATAGTTCCCGAAAATGTCGCGTTCACTACCAAAAAGAGCCGGAACCTAACTATTTGTTCCATAGAGA